CTTCAGCAGCCAGCGCAGAGTTCCAATACTGATCGTACCGGTCACAATCTGGTTATATGTCCTTCTTGCCTTTTCTCTGAGTGTAGTGAACCGGCCAGACCCTCTGGTTTTACCCAGGTGCCTCATTCTCTCCTCATTCTCTCTACTTAGTTTGCTCACATTGCAAGATTCGCTACCGTGCATTCACTGTGCACCTATAATAAATAAATAACATTACATTTTGAACATCTTTTGTAATTGTCAAGTGTTACTAATATTTTACGTACATGATTTAGACATAACATTAATTTAAAAAAAAATGTATTACATTGTTCCTATGGGTAATGGTACTTTTTTTTTCAACATCCTGTTTTTTGTGTGTGTGATTACCCACCGTGGCTTGCCGTTACAAACAACTGGGTTGGTTTTTTAGTTGAGAGCTTTGGTATGCCTGAACGCGGACTCTGAGGTAGACAGGTGCGCTATTAGTAATAGGTATGTGCTTAGTGTACACAGGAAATTGACGCCAAGCGATAACATCATTTGTTTCTGTTGCCTTGTTGAAATACACTGAAGTGTTATAATTCAGGTTAGGTTTGAGGTTTGAACAACTGATCAACATCATTTCATACGGGTAGTAACCCATGAGTGCTCCGTTTTTCTTCTAATTCAAGTCTGAGTCCGAAGAAGCTCAGCACAGTGCACAGGTTCTGTAGCACCGGCGAAGATCCTGAAATACTTTGAGTAGATTTTTAACTCCAAATTTTGCTCCGCAGCGCTATTCTCTTCGATTACCAACTGCCAAGGGATTTTCTTCGTGCGCAACAATGCACACGAGCGTCCGATCTCACTACCCAGAGACCAGGGGGAAACTAGAAGTCCAAGTCCAAGTGAAAAATCCCAGTCCTTACCGGGGATTGAAACCGGAACCTCTAGCACTCGAGGCGGACACCAAGCCCCGGGACCATTCAGTCCCTTATATAATTCTAGTTAATAAATAAGTAGTTGGATCCCCGGGGCGAAAGATAACAACATTTACAGAAAATGAGACTGAATAAAATTGAAACTTTTTTTTTTCCCTTTCTATGATTACACTATGTAGGATAAACATTGAATGAATGAGAATAGACGGGAACAATTTTCAGAAACCCCGTTCAACAACATAACAGTTATATTAGGGCAGCAGACAGTTACAAAGTAATTAACTGTGCGTGTGTTTAATTATTGAAGGCAAGATTGCTCCGTACCCTTTTCTTTCGAAGCTCTGGAGATTTGATACAAGATTGATTGGTTTGAAATGTGGATAATTTTGTAGGACTATCGTGGAAGAAAACTAGTGGCCGTAAATTTGCCTAGTGAAACCACACAACAGCCAGGGGCTGTAAAGGATACGCAACTAACCATCGTGGAAGAGGCAGGCAATACCTAGGGACGTTTACCGAAGCCCATGTCTTAGTCTTAGTCGAGGTTTCAATGTTACTGCAATCGGGTCACCCCAAAGTGACGCTTAATTTCATCAGGACCGCACAACAAATGACAAATACTCGGTGACACAAAGTGCCACCATTCAAATGAGAATCACCCGGGTACAAGTCCCAGAAACCCTGTTCAGCCGTTTAGTTATATTAGGGTCCCCTACTAACGCCGGGATGGGGCTTTAACATAACACACAACAAATTGAATCATGGCGGAAGGGTTGCGATATCCCTAGTACCGAGCCAGCAGATTTACAACTCATTGTTCTGAAATAAATATATATATGTGTGTGTGTGTATATATATATATATATATATATATATATATATATATATATATATATATATATATATATATATATAGAGAGAGAGAGAGAGAGAGAGAGAGAGAGCAAAACACACAATGTGGGAGTTTCCAGGGTTTCGGTTATTCCATTTGACCGTCTTTCAGATAGTCCGACTCTCCTTCGATATCCATTTAGTGTATACAGCAATGCCTGTTGTGGTATACTATCCCACTTGGTCTATACATTATTGCTCCTTGTAGTTTTTTTCTTGACAGCGATTTTACAGTTGAGAGGTTCCTTTCGAACTTCTTAGCTCCAGCGACGATCACCAACGGTCTGCATAAAAATTGCACTGGTGAACTGAGCGACGCATCTGTGCTACGAACCCACTACCTTCAGAGCGCGAGGCAAACAAACGGCTTGGGGATCCCAGCAGTCGAGTTCAATAGCGCACCGATTTTAACATTTTTTTAAAAGAAAGTGCTGACACACACACACATTCTTCCTGATTCCATAATTTTTTATCTTTTCGCTCCTCTGTATGTCAGGTGCTTTTCTCATGAATCCCATCATCCCCCTGTTGAAGGATAAAACAGTGCTCATCGTAATTTTAGAGAAAATTATGCGCCAATTGAGCAAGCACTTGTTTTCTAAAGAAATGAATTGTTGACCCAAACCACACTTTATTCTTGATTTCAACATTTGTGATTTTTTCGCTCCTCGATATGTCAGGTGCTCTTGTCGGGAATCTTGTCTCGTTGTTGAAGGATTAAACCCTGCTTGTCGGAAGGTTAGAGAATATTATGCGCCAAAATAAGAAACGATAGGGCTTGTTGGCATGACTCATGCAATTTTATCAACAAGATTACTGTTTAACACATACAATATTTCGTCATGTTGGTGTTGTTTATGACTCATCCGTGGAAGACCTTGCGTTTAACTCTTTTGTTAGAGACCTTGGCTTTCAGATTGACCCGTCTGTAGTGTGTATGCGCATTTGTGTGTTTATGTGTGTGTGTGTGTTTCTTATGCAGTCTCGCTCGCTTTATTTAGTTTGTTATTCCTTGTCGTCAGCGGACTTGACCATCGATGTGTGCCGCCTACTCTGAAGGCTGCGAGTTCGGTTTTGGACTCCGTGCATGCTGTTTGCGGGTGCTGATGTTTCGGAGATCGCAGGCTGTCGTCTTAGAGCTACCGAGTTTGTGATTTCTGCAATACCCTTGACGGTCTCCTGGCTGTTCCGCGGAAAGACCGAGCCATGTGGTATAAACCATTTGCACAGCTTGGTCCTCTTGTTGTTAAACCTTCTTTAATCTATGTTGGTGTCCCATGCTAGGTAAATTCTCTTTTCCTTTATCTGACTCACATAAAGTGCTGATATCTGTTTTTCTTTTCTGCACAGCTTGATCTTCTTTTTGTTCAACCTTCTTTAGTCTGTGTTCATGTCCCATGCTAGGGATATTCTCTTTCCCTTTATCTGACTCACATAAAGTGCTGATATCTTTGTTTCTTTCTTTTCTGCACAGTCGGTTTCATGCTCTTTAATGCCGGCAACAGCGTCATGTAATAGCTGTTTATTTTATGCATGGCTAGAATACCTGGTTGGTTGCGCGACGTGCGGAGACAAAAAGGTGGAAAACATACGCTGATGTGTTAATTGTGGCGAAAAACCCATCCATAAAGACAAAAATTGTATGGTATACTTCAAGGCCGCTGACACACCGGAAATAGTAATGGCCCAGTAAACGCACCTTCTTCTCATATCCCACGCCGGTCTGCGTTGGTAACCATATCTGTTCACACCCTTCTGTCGCATGTACTTCCAGTTATTGTTATAATTTTTTTAAAAATAGGATGTATCTGCAGTCTATGATGCCAACGACTTTTGTTTTATGAAACATCTTACTTATACATACTTCATAACAATCCCATTAACGTTCATATTACACTCTGGTGGGCAGTATATAGTTGTTATGATGATGGCGACTTCTGTTGTAAGAAATATCTGTGTTGGTGTAGTGTGAAAGGGGCAGGGTGTCGCATCGATGACTAAGTGGTCGAGCCGTTTGCATGACAACGTGAAGGCCTGAGCTTCACGTTTTACGAACTGCCAGCTTTACGTACATTCCTCTCGGAACTACGAGCTACAGAATTTGTATGACGCTCTCTGCAGGCGGCTTGCCGTATTTATGATAAAACCAGGTGCAGTGAAGGGATCCTCTCGAGTTAAACGTTTTTGAACCTCAAACAGAAGATGAGCAAAGAAGTAGAAATAGGACGCTCCAGACAACATAAAACAGTGTTCTGATTGGATGGTGCTTCCTCTTCTCTAGACCTCGGTGACCTGGTCATGAACAGTCTGTCACAGAAGTCGCACAGTTTTGAAACTTCATAGCCCACTTGCTGCACTGACAGGCATGCGCCACCACACTGGACCTTCATGTCGCCAGTGAATTTATGTTTCACCCTTTCATCATCATCCTTTGTGTTTCAAACATGACATAGGGCTGGCATTCGATTCGTCCACGCTGCTCTTTTGCCTGCAGCTGTCTGATTTCTAGCATAGAGTTAAGCCCAGCATGTTTAGCCTCTCGTAGTAATGTTCTTCTTGATGTTTCCCTTGGACCTCCTCTCAGACCGTTTGTTTCCCATTTCAATGCTTGTTTCGTTATTCTTTGTTCATTTCATCCCAGAGCATGCCCAGTATATCTCCGCCTTCTTTGTCTTATTGCAATATAAGTTTTTGTCCAGACATTTCTCTATCTCCTCTCTTTTTTGGGGGATGCAATTCGTCCCATTTTTCTCATACATTTATTTTTAAATGCATTAAACTTTTGTTCCTTATCTTTTGTGGATCCTTAACTGAAGTCTGCCTTTGCCTCATTTACTGGAAACCGCACCAGTATATTTAACATGGCCAAATTACCCCGGCTTTCAGGACAGAGTGTTCTTTAATAGCATTCTGTCTTTAGCTAAGAAGTTGGAAGCCCCACCCTGGTTGTTGCTAGGGGCCCTAATTTAACCTGCCGGTTGAATGGTTTTTCTGGGACGGGTGATCCTCATCCAAGTGGTTACACTTTGTTTTACCGGATGGTTATCACTCAGTGTGATGTCCTGCTGGGTTCAACAGCTCCGATTTGTTTAATCAGTGACTAAGAATCCATGACTCGCATCTATAAAGTTGTGTTTACGTAGGGAGAACAGACAAATGTAAGTCAATCAGGCTGCCATTATATCGCGGTTCTATTCTTGTTTTAAGGTCAATGCACAACGTGTGGAGATAAAGTCACGGGAACTAACCAGGCCTGCCAAGCTATGGGCAATCTGTATCACACCAAATGCTTCGTCTGTTGCTCATGTGGTAAGTATTTCTTGTTATTGTTGTTTTTTCGTTTGTCTACTGTGTAAGTCGGCGTCTGTAGCTTAGGCGTTGTGAACGCGCTTCGTAATGCCAGGGTGCCGGGTTCGATTCCAACTGCGGACGATTTGCTTTGCGTTGGTTTCGACAGTGGTACCGAGAGCTGAACGTTCAGAAGCAAAGGCAAACTACTGAATGTAAAATTTGCCAGGAAAACCACATCAGCCCCCCCCCCCCTTACACCACCCCCACCACCCCTAAATCCTGATGCGCAACTAACTAACTGTGAATACTTGAAACGCTTATATTGACTGTAATGTTTGTCTTTGTAGTTGTAAGTAGGTGCATAGTCACTGTTTGATACAACCCCTCCCCAACACGCCACACACACGCGAACATTGGGTGACTGATCACGTAAGGACACACTCACACCGTTTTTGCGAATAGTAGAGTGGCTAAAACCTGCATGTGTGGGCACACGTCTGGACATCGACCGCATAAAAACATTTTGCTCGGGGGGACAGTTGGAGGCCAGACTTTGAAGAAATTCCTTCTTAAGATAACATCGACGAAGGTAATAAACTGTTTTACCAAGGCTTATAAATCTGCTATTTTAATGAAATAATGTTTGTAAGATTATCTAAATATTCATAGTACAATAGTACAATTATATCTTAATCACTGCACGGAAGATGTAAACAGCAATATTTAAAGAATAAGAAACTAAAATACACATTACTACATAATTGTTCTAAATACATAATTACACGATATTTTGAATAACAAATAAATATTATGAGATCTCGCTGAACACTTTATAATCCCGAGGATTTAACAGGATATTTGTGTGCAAAGTACTACCAGTACTAAGGAAGAAGGGAATGAAGCATTTAGAGTGACAACTTTCTAGAATTGATTGACATCGGACATAATCATAAATACTCCAATCTCGTCTCGAGTATGTCCTTAAGTGTTTTTATGCTAACTATTTCTGTTCTCTTTGATGTAACCACATTTGAGTCATGTGTAGTTTTCTTGTCTCGATTCTCCAGTTGGTACCCCCAAGGTATGCACCAGTAAAGACTAATTCTCCACGAAACTGAAAACCTCACGGCAATTACTTTCTCTTATGGCATTGATGATGACTCTCCTCTCCATGGATGGCCCATTATTGATAATCTCACTACCAGACAGGGCTTCTACTTCCTTATTGTTTCTCATACCACCATAACCTGTGACAGGAAAAGACGGTGACATAGCGAAGCGCTGCGTGCAGTATAAGTTGGATCCACTGTTTCCATATATACCCCACCTTATTCTTCTGTAGCGTGCGCATCGAGTCACTGAGCAAGCACGCATCGGGGACTTTCTGAGTTTTCAGCCATTCTAGGGCCTTTGTCACAGCCATGACTTCCATCGTTATGCTGCTGGTGGTAGTAGCGAAGACTCCGCAGTTCTCTTTTTCCTTTAGTCACTTGTAGCAAAAGCCCGTGCACTTCGCTTTTGACGAATAACGGAGCCATCTATGCTATGAATAACAGCGTCTTCCGGTGATATGCATCCTTCCACCAACGCCTTCACGTCTGTATTAACTGTTGGTGGAGCCAAATCCTAACACTGTTTTTGTAGGGTGATAACTACAACAAAGTTACCTGTTTGTATTCTTTTATTTAGCACCTATCCATGGTCTATGTCTTTTAGAGAAACAACCCGGGTAATTAATACGTATGTCTCCCCATTTACATACCGGTACACACTAGCTCTATTCTGATTGGTCGACCTACAGCCTACCTCACTTCTGATAAGTCGACCTCGATCAGTCTGACTTTCACACAAGGTCACGGGGCTATTCCGCAATGGCGCTGATATCGCCTGTTGTATGTTTCACCATGCCAGAGCTTTTAACATTACACAAACTCTCAGGTACTGGGTCTAACACAACTCCCATAGAGAATGACGAAACCTATGTCACAAGCCGTCTCTTTCTCGGAATAAAACGTAAATGCCCGACAACAAGAAACCGCGACACCCATAACCTCGACCACGGTACACTGGTCCAACAAACTTATCAATGGAGTTGACCTGCCCGGCTCTCTAGCGTAGTTGGCTAAACCGGACTGCGCGGTGACCGGGTGACGAACTCCTTGTGGTCCGGGTTCACTTCGGGGGGGGGGGGGGGAGGCAGAAAAACCACATTTCTCTCAGATTTACGGTATTTATCATGGAATCAAGGCCGAAGGGTTGCAATATCCATAATACCGAGCCTAAGGGTTAACAACTCATGGCTTCTGGATACTTAAAAAAACAAAAATGGAGTTGACCTACATTCGGTGGGGATACCAACGTATTAGGAACCACAACCCGTTAAACCGCTGTTCTTCCTGGCACAACCTACACCAACAAACATCAAAGTAAGCAAACACCAGACTTATTGCATTCACCAACTCTGTCAAGTATGATTGTGTATCTGCCTCAAATAGCTTGTTTGATTGAACACTCTTGTCTAAAGTGTTACTTTTATTCCTCTCCCAATAGCTTCTCTGATTAACCCTGTCTGTCTGAAGGGTTACTTTAATTCCTCTCACAATAGCTTGTTTGATTTAACCCATTCTGTCTGCAGGTTACTTTAATTCCTCTCACAATAGCTTGTTTGATTTAACCCATTCTGTCTGCAGGTTACTTTAATTCCTCTCACAATAGCTTGTTTGATTAACTTATTCTGTCCAAAGTGTTACTTTAATTCCTCTCCCAATAGCTTGATTTAACCCATTCTGTCGAAGGTTTCTTTAATTCCTTCCCCAATAGCTTGTTTGATTAACTTATTCTGTCTTACTTTAGTTACTCTCACAATAGCTTGTTTGATTAACTTATACTGTCTTACTTTAGTTACTCTCACAATAGCTTGTTTGATTAATCCATTTTTCTGAAGGTTTGCTCTAATTACTCTGTCTCGTTTATTATGTGACCCACCCTGTCTCGTGAATTATTACATTAACCCACTATGTCTCGTGTATTATTACACTTAAACCACTCTGCCCCGTGCACTGTTACTTTAACCCAGCCCATCTTGTTTGTATATTATTGTAATCTAGCTCCCAAAACCCTGTAGTAATGTAATACAAGTAGATAGTAATACTAAAACGGTCTGTCTGGTGTGATTTTTAATTATGCTTGCAATAACTTGTTCTTTTTAACCTTTTTGTATTATCTGCTATTTAAAATTTTACCCTAAAACCAGTTAAGTTAACCTAGTCTGTGTCGTTTAAAAAATTATAATTCTACTCCAAATAACTATTTACATTAACTTACTTAGTCCCAGGTGTTAATTTTGATTTTATTTTCGATTACCTCTTACATTAACCCATACTTAGTCCCAGGTGTTAATTTTGATTTTATTTTCGATTACCTCTTACATCAACCCACTCCCACTCAGAGCACAGAGTTAAAACCGGACCCAGACTTGCGTTCTTCTAAAACGTCTCTTCCTCAACACAGACATGTAATACTCTTTAACCGACCCCAGACTCCGACCCAGACAGTTATTACATTCATGGAAGCAGCTGCCTGGTATAAAATGAGACAGCATGCAACGCAATTCGTTAAATAAGTGATTCCCAAACTGGGCGCCGCGAACTTTTCACGGGGGCGCTGCGAAATATTCGATGATTTTCGAGGTTTTTTTTTTTAAAGATCTTACATAGTCATACTTTTACTTAGTTTGAGGCGCTGTGGACACATTTTAATTTAAAAAAAAAGCGCCGCGACAAAGAACAGTTTTGGAAACACCGCGTGAAAGAAAAATTCACTTCGCTCTTGTCAGTGCTAGCATCAATCTTCTGTTTTGAATACATACACGTTTCCAAAAAACAACAATCTTCTACACCTGCGTAGAAAAAAAAAGAGGGAAGCGGGGAGGAAAGGGGGGTCGGGTGGGATTTGTATATATCACTGTCCATCTACCTGGCTGCCGTGGCGTGTTTTAACACGTTTACTTGTAGAACAAGGCCGCGCTTTCTCAGTTCGCTCTAGCGGTGAGTGTAGAAATTCAGCGTGCGTCTTTTGGTGTTGCATCCGGATGTTAGTTTTCTTGTGAAGTGTGTAATTTTGAGATTTTCTGAGTCAGATGTAGATACCCGTGCGAACATATGTTTTCGTGTGACTGTGAGGAGTGTCTATGCACTGCGTGGGTTAGCACAGTTTTTCTTTGCACGTAATCAGTTATGAACAGTTAGTTACCGGCTGTCGTTAGCTGGGTATCATTGACACAGCGTTGCAGGACCAATCCGTTATCATTGACAGTTTTGTTTTTCTAGGCACAGTGTTTACGTTCAGTAGATTGTCAGTAAGGCGATCAAAATTATAATTTTGAGAGCATGCATCTTCCCTGTAGCAACATACAGATGTGAGTCAGGGACTGTCTGCCAGTCCTTAAGAAAGAAAATAGGGGCATATGAGCTGAAATGCTATAGAAAGATTCTAAGAATATCGTGGTCGAAATAGAGGAGAAATACTGACATCTTCAAAGATCTTAACATCAAGGAAGATTGGCTAATAAACAGCATCCTGTCTCGAAAGCTAAAATATTTTGGTCATATCAAGCGGCACAATGGATTGGAAAAAATTATAGCAAAGGGCATGGTACCAGGAATGAGGGGCAGGGGCCGACCAACACGAAGATGTGCACAGGAAATAAGTGCCTTCTTGAGTAAGAAAGTGCATGAGGCGGGAGAGCTGGCGAGAGACCGAGTTTCTTTCAGGCAGACCGTGATGAGAGCGACGTTCTACAAAGGACGTGCTACATGATGATGATGAGATTGCCATTGTGACTTAACGGTCGCAGCAGCATACTAATGTCAGAATTACCGCAAAGCAGACTGCTTTCATATCGTCTGTACATTAATTGATTTGGAATTACCAAGGACGTTTGAAGCGCCTAAGCCATAGACACCGAATGTCTTTGTTCATACACAGTTGTCTGTGGACGTATATCAATACTGAACAGT